CCACGCTCTCTGGACCTTCCTCTCTTCCCCTTCCCCTTCCCTTCCTCATCCCTGGCATGGCTCCTGATCCCCCAGGTTACCCAGCACAGACTGGGAGCATCCCAAGGACCATGGGCTGGTCCGGATGGTGCTGGAGCTGGATGGGGGCTGGTGCTGGGGGGGCTGGGTGGGGGCTTGTAGCTGTGGCTCTGCTGTGGAGAGGCCAGGTCTCTGTTGTTGTCCCCAACATGGGGTCTGTTACCCACTGTACAAGTAGCCAACCCACAGGTATGAGACACTTGCTTTCATATCCAGTTCTGTGCAGAAAAGGGAGCAGGGGGATGTTCCACAGAGCAAGCTCAGCTTGCTGAAGTGCAAGTGCTACTTTTATACCCAAAAATGTGAGAAGGAACTTGATCTCTACCATTATTCTGTCATTTGCACACGCTTGGTCACTAATCCCTCTGCTCCATTTCAAGTGGCAATGCTCCAAAATGTCACCCTGCCTGCTCAAAGGGTGGGGGGCTCGTTGTTAGCAGAGGGTCCCTCCAGCCTGTGGGTGTGAATGTTAGTGTGCAGCCAGCTCGTTAATATGCTAATACGGTGATTTCAGTTACTTCAGTGGTCCCCCCACCCAGTGCTCAAAGCTGTAACCGTGAGAAGCTGTGGGCAGTGCTCCTTCCCACCCCTTTCATCTGTTCTGCAGGCATCTCCCAGGCCTGTCTCAAGGCCAGGCTGTTGATTATTTGAGCCATGTTTTCCTCTAATTGGAATCTGGTTTTGTCTAATTCTTACTGCTTCATTCTCATCTAGGCCCTGTTTTTATTCTGCATGCCCCTTACGTTCACTTTTAGGTGATTTTTTTTAAAAAAAAAATTGATTTTTTCCCCACATTTTTACTTATTTCAATTAATAACTGACATCATGGTGACCAACCCACTCCCTTCCCCCTCTTGATGGCTCTGGACCAGGTGCTGTGCAGCAGCAGGATGCACACCAGCCTGCAACCATGAAAACACACCAGCATCGTGGGCACAAAACTCATGAGTGTTTAAGAGGTGCCTACTGCTCTTAGTAAAAAAAGCAGCTGATTTATGGCTTGATTTCAGGTCACAGCTGCAAAGGATTGTGGGGTAAAACAACCTCTATAAAAGCTGATTTTAGAACAGAGCCAGTTGATGGTCTCACCAGTGTGGTGACATCCTCCTGGCCAGGGGTGTTTAATTGCATGACACTGCCAGGTGCCTTAATTGTAATTGCAAGTCTCTGTTATTCTTACTGCCTGGTTTTTATATATTATCCAGGATTATCGAAATAGAGTTAGGAAAGTTAGATCTAACATAAGGATTACTTAATATTTAAATGATTCATAAATGTTCATATATTAGTAACCAATCTACTGGTTTAATTCTACTGGAGGTCAGTGGGTACTTCTATCTCCTACTTTCAAATGCTGTTCTGTGGACGTTTGGTATTGAATGTGTGGCCATGTAAAGCAGTTGGAAATTAACCCAACTTTGACAGCCTGAAGCTTTACCAACACATAACCCTTCCAGGTTATGAGATCCTTGCATGAATGCTCTGTGTTGTGGAGGTGCAGGGACCCCGATTGTACAGATGCTCTGAGCCCTGGGGGTGCAGGGACCCCTCCTTGTGTGGATGGTCTGTGTCCTGGGGGTGCAGAATCCCCCCTTGCATGGATGATCTGTGTCCTGGGGGTGGTGACCTGAGGAAGAAAACTCTCTAGCCCCTTAAGCCTCTAAAGCAGATACTCTTTATTGCTCCTCCAAACACTGCAGACAAGAGGCTTCCTGTACTTATACAACAAAGACATCAATATTCATTGATGCCTGAGGACTGGGCAGGGCACATTTCCCGGACCTCATTGTAATACTTGGCCCCCCCCTGTTCCACATGCCCTCCTGGTGGTCGTGGACAGGGGTCTTCTCGATGAAGGCTCGAGGTCTTCCTCACAGTGTTCTTGACCTAATTTGGCTGAGGTGACAGCCAGAAAACCGGTTGTAGCTGGATTTTTGGAGAAGACTCTTATTCATTACTTTTCTTATCTAAGGTATGTGCTTATCAGGAAGACATGACATGAAGCCTTTATTCAATCCCTAGAACATCCCATCTCTGCAAAAAAAAGGGCCCCTGTAAAGATTAACTACTTCGTTCCTGGTTTACCTGTGTTGGCAAAGTTGAACCCATCATCAGTGGAGGGTCCCCTCTTGCTTTGCTTCATGAGGGTGCAGGGTCCCCCCCTTGCACGGATGTGTCCTGGGGGTGCAGGGACACCCCTTGAGGCTACTTCCCAGCTGCTGGGATCAGTGGCTGATAAAGAACTCGGTCCCAAAATGGGATTTTAATTCAAATCTACAATTTATTAAGCACAGGGAAGCAAAGCAAACAGCCCTGGGCACGGTGGGAGTCTCTGCTCCAGCAAGACGTGCCCCAAACAGCTCCAGTATTTGACTTATATCTTCTCAACTGATACATATTCATTATTATTTCGAGAAAAGGGTCGGCTTATGTTAATTATTCCCAAGAATCCGCTTTATCACCTTCTCGAGGTTAACAACAAAGCCGGTTTATGCTACAAAATAACTGTTAAGATGTTTGCCCAATGTCTGCTACACAATACAAAAATCACATGCAAGGCAAGCAGAAGATACAAAAGCAACATGCAGTGCAAGCAGAAGATAAACATTTTGTTACACCACCCGAAAACAGGCAGAGCAAGCAAAGATAAAAATGTTACTGTACAAAAGTATGTACAGAATTGTTCTTCACCCTGTGGCTCTTAACATTGGCCCGTTTTAACACGAATCAGGAGAACACATTTCACAAGTGTAAGGAGATGCTCTGCAGGCAGGAAGAAAAGCTCCTGGAAGGTTATTGGAGCTTGGCTTTCCAGGAAGGGAAATCAGGTGCTCGGGAGGGCTCCACGGGAGCTCCCTGAGGGCGAGGGAACTGGCACCTGGCTGCTTCCAGCACTCACTCACTTCCAGCACTCACTCACTTCCAACACTCACTCACTCACTCACTCACTCACTCACTCACTCACTCACTCACTCACTCACTCACTCACTCTCGGTTTCAGTTCAGCAAAATGCAGGGAGTGCACGAGATCCAGATCTCGCTGCCCCCGGCCCCAGGGGCTGCCATCAGCTGGGTTGGGGTCCAGGAGTCCCCATCCTGCTGGATTCCTTGGTACTTCGTCTCTCTGGACGGACAAGCTGCTTTCCAGGCCCACCTAGGACTGATCTACCAGGTAAAAAAAAAAAACCCAACAAACTCATTTTGGGGACAAAAGGGGGCTTTTCTTTTCATCTCGGCCTGGGACAAAGGCTGGTGCCTGGGCTGCCCTGAGCTCCTGCCCGCGGGGGCTCTGGGAGCCCAGCCGGGCTGGGGGCAGCAGGTTTTGGGTCAGAACATCCCCTGCCCGCTGGGCTGGCGCCCTTTGCCTTAAACCGTTGATTTCCAACCCGCGCAGCCACTGGGTAAGTCACAAAAGGCATCTCGGGGAGCCTGGGGAATGTCCCTTTGCATCCAGAGGGGCTGAGCCCCTGCAGAGCCCGAGCCGTGCCGGGTGTCCCGTGGGAGCAGCACAGGGACAGGGACACGGGCCGTGGGTGGTTTGTCCTTGCTCTGGCTTGGCCGGGATCCCGTGGGACAACAGCGAGGGTTGTCGCCGGGCGCTGTGACCTGGGGAGGGGGTTTTGCTCAATTCAAACGTGGCCGGGAACAAGAGGAGCCGATGTGGGGGTGCCCAGGGAGCAGCCCCGGCATTGCCAGCCCCCCGTGTGCCCTCCCGGGAGGGGAGAGGGTCCGTGTGGCCCCAGCTCGCCCATCTCCGGGTCCCCCCCGGTGGCGGTGCCGGGTGGGACCTGCTGCAGGCGGTGGCAGCTCAGTTCGGTGAGGGATGAATCTTAGGTGTCTGTCTTAGTCAGTCC